GTATTAGTTGTTACCATTAGCCAAACCGTTGTAAGATTTGTTGTAAAACTGTGATAGTTTCTGTCAAGAGTTAATACAAGAATAAATTATAGCTAACCTGCCTACTCAGCCAATATGCAGCAGATTTTTACGAAGATAAGATCATAACAGCTGAACAAAAGTTTTGGTTACATGTTTTTATAATGTCTAAACCAATTTTTCTATTTAATAACCTGCCAATCATTAAAAAATTGGATGACATAATTTGAGGTTATACAAAGTCGTTCAAAATGTTCACATTCTGTTGTTTACAAACATAACTTAAAATGCCGTGTAATTAGCAGCGCTTTCAAACAAATTTTGAGTTTAACGAACCGAAAAAAATCACCATATTTTTTGTTACCTATTTGAAGTAACCCAAAAACGATGACTTTGCGGATGATTTAAGAACTAAAACGGGTGAATTTATTCGGACAGTACGATGAAAAAAGGTTTTCGTTACAATGTATCAAAAACAGCTGTCTTACGGATCGTTTTGAGACCCTAAAGATAGCTTTTTGGACTAGAATCATATGGTTATGTCAAAGCTTATCCCAAAACAAATCAGCTGTTCTAATCCTTTAAAATGCTCCAACAATAGGTATATAAACAAACTTTGTTTGTTTCTTACATAACAATGTTTGCTATATATTTTGTATTTTCTGCTATTAAATATGACAATGTAATGAAAAATATTGCTCGTATCTACTCCTAAAATGCTTTTTTGTGACTTAATCGAATTTCCGGACTCGGCAAAGCCTCTTACGTTAAACAAGACACCGTCCCAAAAAAGCCTACTTTAGGGACCAGTAACGAAAACTACTATTTCATGTTACTTAATGCTACTTTAAGATATACAAATTCATGAGAAACCCTACCGTACCGATGTCAAATTTGGCTTAAGATTATAATAATAAGCGAAAGTAGGTAGAACAGGAATAGTATTTTCTTTTGTAAAAACATTATGTAAAGTGTTCCAGAGAATGTAGTTCGATCCTCCTGGTAGAAGGTCGTTAATTTTTCAAATCAAGAAATTCTCCCTTAAATTGGCTTTAGTAGTACTTACTATTTGTTTAACTAGCTTAGGTAATTACGATACATAACATGGATCTAATCTTTAATAACTGTTAACATACGGAAAATTTATAAAAAGGGAATTTTAGTACAGGGTATGAGATTTGATTCTCTTGTTTAAGGGTATACTCAGCAATATCGCTAAACTACATTCAATTTGTTAAGTAGAGGGGCTTTACAGAGCGCGTTGAGTGAAATGATAATGTTGACTCCGACGAAAACTCCTTCAAACTTTGGCGGCAATCTACTAAACGGCAGCGCACGCTTGATGTGTTCACGTTTTGAAGGGAGCCTTGCTGTTCCTATGTTCTCATGAAAGGGGGACTGTAAGTAAACAAATCTTTAAAAACGAGTTTCCTGTTTTTCTACTGTTTTTTTTTTTTTTTTTTTTTTTTTTTTAAGATTAGAATATCTTTTTTAAAACTATAAGTCTCATTTTTGGCTTAGTTAAAAATAAACTTTCACAAATAAATAATTGCTTTGCTTCTCCACAACCACGGCGCACTAAAGCAAGCCATCATCAGAAAGATCAAGTTTGTTTTAATTATACATCACTTTTCTCAGACAGTAATAGAGAATCTGTTTTAAATCATTGTTATAGTGTTATTTTTTTATTATTGTTACCTAGTCTGCTACATATGGAGTAATGTAAAGTTTGTAGTATTAGACAATTTAAAATGTATGTAAATGTTACATTATTGCTGACAAATTGAATAGCCTATTTATAAAATAAAAGTAAAATTATTTAGACGTTTCTATTGAAGAAATTCTGTGTAGCATACTCCTACAATAAGAGATTCTCTAGCAGAAAAAAAGAATCTATGCCTCTATCTTTTATGATGAGAAAATTGGCGTCTAGTTAATATTAAGTTATACAGACGTTAAAAGTCCTCTTAAAATGCACTATCCTGTTCTATTTGTTTTTTTTTATTAAGGTTTAAAATTAGGTCATATAATTGACCTAAGTTTAGTTGAAAATGTTAACTTGAATATTACTAACACTAGCTTGCTTTAGTTTATTGTAGACAGTTCAACTCTTAGCTCACTGTAACTAGTTATTTGACTATTCCAGTCAATCAAAAAATCATCCTACGACGAGAAAATTAGTTTGGTAAAATTATACGAGTTCTGATTATTAACTGACTTATTTGAAAAATTATAGATGTAGTGGTGTTAAGTTATTGTAATTTCATTATAGAGTCTGTAATATTTTGTTAATGTATTCGCTTTGAAAAAATTACGCATAAATATAACAGAAGAAAAATATCCCACATATATATTTTGTGAAATCATGTCATATAAAAAACTATTGTTTATTTAACTTATATCTTCTATATATAAAGCCAAAAGTACCCATGAACTTTTGAGAAAACTACAAGTCACACCCCCAAAAACCATATACTTAAAATGTTCGTCATGACGAGAAACCTTGCGCAAAACCATTTTTTCATAAATTGCCCTTTAAGGTCATAATTGCTTTCCAAAGGAAACTTTCCATATACTTAATGTTAAAAATACCTCAGCTGTTGTTATTTGTATGTTATTCTTTCAATTTATTACCTTATTAAAATCTGGTGTGATTATTTGTTTGTAATGCTGTAATCTGTTTTGTTTATTTCAGCTTAACTTAGCCAATCAATAGTTTTATTAATACTTATAAAGTCAAACGGGTTGAAGCCCGTGGGTAAAATATTCACATTGTTTTGTCAACTATCCAGTCTTTATATTTACTATCAGCTCCACTTATTTTTACACTTATGGAGATTGCCGTTGAATCGGTATTTATACAGGCAAAGTTAGGGCCACATGGCCCTCTTTTACACTTACCCTAGATGGCCCTAGATGTGTTGTCTGTTTTAGATTTCGATACCATAATTGTGATGTCATTAAAACCCTATAGTGCTTTCGCTTTGCATCACCGTTATATCAGTTTACCATGGGTTGTAAGTCAGATAAAAGTAATTGGCATTATCCTACCTTATCACAGGCTAAATACAATTACGTGTATTTTATTCTACAACTTGCTTCAATTTTCAAATTTGCTGAATTATATCAGCACAGGTAACACTTTTAAACAGTACTCCCTTATACTGTAGCAAGTGCACCATTTGGTTGACATACCGGTAATCGACTTAACACATCTAGAGTATAATAAGAACTAATATGATAGTAGTAGGCCTACTAATATGAAACGCACATCTAAACAGGACCACAGAAAATATACTACTAAACCAATAAGTAGTATTGGTTATACTATAAGTAATATTGGTAATAGTAGTATATTTTCTGTGACAGAACGCAGAGTGTAAAATAATAATAGATTTACGTCCAGCATCGAAAATCAATGCTACAAACCAACTTCCCTCGCATCAAATTTCGTGACAGTATCGATTACTTGCTTCGACAAATCAAGGATTTGTGAAAATCGCTTCCACCGGGAAGTAGGCTGAAGACAGAAGGTTGTTGACCTACATGTTCATCCTGTGGAATGTTGTCTGATGTCTGTAGACAACTAGCAGACAACGAGACAACCTTACAATACTGAACCCAAGCTCATAAAGTTGCCTTCCCAAAAGCTTCACGTCAAAAATTAAAGAAAAAATTACTGGTCCTCTTGTTCATCCGCCTGTCTTTTCAACTTTTTTCGTCTAGATATCTAAACTATAACAAGTTTTTACGAACTTGTTTGCATTGCATGAAACAAGTCTATTGCCCTTTCTATGAACAGTTACTATCCATGTAGTGGTGTAGAAGCTACTAACCATTAAAAGACTATCATACTTTGCACACTCGACTACAAGGACAACACTAAAGCTTTTACTGCGGTAATTAACATTGATAATAGATTGAACGAACGCGATAACACGACTTCATTTGTAGAGGGAAAACAGCAAAGAAGCACGTGTCCTCACATTTCTTTGAATTTCCGATTTCAGTAAATGGATTTTTTAACTCTGTAGAATACAATTTCAAAACTAAGTTTTACGAAATATGGTTGGTTAAGGTATTAATAATAGTAATTTATAGTTATATAGGTAGGCAGCAATATCAATGGTTACAGGTTCACACGATGGTTATTTGTTGATGTAAATAGAGCTTTACACTATGCCATGGTTGATGTTTGATACATGTGCACAGTTGGATCGATGCCTGGTCGAGTTGCACAGCATTGATGGTTGATTGTAGCTAATTGTGTACAGCATTATTGGTTGTTGCCACAGGTGCGCTGGTGCAAGTTATGTTTTATGGTTGGCACAGGTGGTGCACGTTTTGTTTGATGGTCATCACAGGAGGTACACAGTATGTTTGGTGGTTGCCGCAGGTGGTACACAGTATGTTTTATGGTTGCCACAGGTGGTGCACGTTTTGTTTGATGGTCATCACAGGAGGTACACAGTATGTTTGGTGGTTGCCGCAGGTGGTACACAGTATGTTTTATGGTTGCCACAGGTGGTGCAAGTTATGTTTTATGGTTGGCACAGGAGGTACACAGTGGGTTTGGTGGTTGCCGCAGGTGGTACACAGTATGTTTGATGGTTGCCACAGGTGGTGCACGTTTTGTCTGATGGTTGCCACAGGTGGTGCAAGTTATGTTTGATGGTTGCCAAAAGTGGTACACAGTATGTTTGGTGGTTGCCACTGGTGATGCACGTTTTGATTGATGGTCATCACAGGAGGTGCACGGTATGTTTGATGGTTGCCACAGCTTGTGCAAGGTATGTTTGATGGTTGCCACAGGTAGAGCACAGTATGTTTGATAATGGTTGATGGTTACCTCACATGTACGCCAACACGAAACAATGCTATTCACCTGCACAGCATGGATGTTGTTGTCCTACTCAGCTCAGCCGTTTTCTCCGCCATCTGTTAGTTTCGCCATGATCAGTATTGTGCGGGAGGTACAACTGATAACAACGCACTGTACATACAGTATCTACATTTATTTGCTCTCTACTATTTAATTAGGTTAACGTTTGACAGATACGTGAAGTTGTGTTAGTGATTATTAGGATCAATTTATTAACATGTTTTCATTCTTCTCAGATTTGGTAAGTATTTTCCCAATAAGTAAATCAATATTAGTATTAGTAAACAACCGCTACTACCCCTACAAAATTAATGAATTTAATGTAAATCAAGTACTAAATAATTCTTTACCAAAATTGAATTATTAGGCTATTCAATTTGAGTTTTTATCAACCCATGCTTTCACTATTTAAAAATGCCATTAAATCAATCACAGTAAAAATCCTTATTACGTGAGACAACTACCAAAATCTATCCATTTTATCCTACATACATCCAGAAAATACAATTTCCTCGATATTTATATAGCGTGTTGCAATTAAATAAATTCTGCACGAATATTATAGATTTATTCTTTTTTTGGTGTCTCACACTACCTTGTTTTATTTAGACCAAGTCGGATGCATAAACGTGAAAGGACCAATAAAAAAAAATGAAGAATTGCACTCTGTGTGCATTATGTTAACAAACCGCACTCTCAGTTATCTGTGGACAACCTCAGTATGTATAAAAAGTAGTCGGTCCAGTTGTCAGCCACAGCCGGTTTTGCTGAACAGTTGCCAATATTAAGTATGTATTAAGTAAGCTCATGGGACTTGATAGGTCAGGGATCCAATAGGCCTTGGGCTACTTGCAATGTGCTGTGTTATCAACATACAGGCAGAAGCACCTGGTTGAGCTCACTTGAGAAAAGTCTAGATATTCAAAATCCAATTGTAATTTATTTACTTTTCTGCTACTATTTTATATATCACATCAGACATGTCTTGATGTTAATGGTTACATGTTTGTTACTAAATCTAAGAATAGTTAATACACTACTCATCAAAAGCAACATAACAATCGAAACAATTATTGTTGCGATAAAATATATTTCACTGTAAAAAACATAGGGATGATATTTACACCACTCATATTATGTAATGCTCTCCAATTGACCCTTGATTTTGAAGCAGACAGTCCTGTTGTATGAACCAGCTTTAGCTATTTTTTTTTTTTACTGAAAGAGAACATGGTTAAATATATCATTTTTTGTGTGCGAGAAAATAAAGTACAGTAGTATTTTAATTTTACAGCAGCGTCATAATCATAGTTTTTCTATCAGTGTCTTAATTGAACCGAGTATACATTTTTAAACTTTAAAGTGGCTATTTTGACGTGGGACAGAATTTTTACTTAAAGCAAAGATTACACATTCATAATGTTGATTTACACTACACACCTACCTTCTTCAAGTGATGAAACTAAAGATAAAATAAGAAAAAACTAAACTTTCTATTCCACACTTCTATTTTCAAACACTATGACAACAACAAAACTAAACCATATGATAATTAAATTAGTTCAAAGTAAATATTCATCATATTAACAGACTAGGAGATATAACATCTACGAAAAATTTTGCGTAGCATGTGCAATCTTTGCTTAAAATGATAATTGATTATATCTGTCGCTGTTGTCAACGAGTCTACTTTAAACTTATGGTTTATGAAGATGTTGAAATTTAAAATGTAGACCTACAAACAAGAACAGTTGTTAAGGGCAAGCTTATATTCTGTGTATATTTTGCATGAGATCCTTTGCCAATATAGAAATAAAGCCAATGATAGTCTACACTGAACACTGTATTATCACAGAAGAAATCATTAGAAAATACCCTTTCTTTCACTAAATTGTGACGTTATAGTTTCCTTATAAAAACTTATGAACTATTTTGGTATTACAGAAATCAAATTTTATTGACTGAAATTATAAGCAAAAATTTACAATTTCATAGACAGTGCATAAAAGACATTGTTGAAGTAAATCTTACAACATAGTATGGGAAAACTAAACTGTGCACGTAATGATCTCAAGACAGTTATTAATTGCTGTCTTGTCCGTCAACGGCGATTTCATTTCTTGGTACGAGTGATCTGATTCGGAGTGGTATAAAACTCGTCCGACTTCTAATGGAAGAATGGTTCTGCCAACGGTTGGTAGACTTTGGTATTTGTTATAATTCAAGGAAATCAGTGATTATATCGCGATGCTCAATAAAGGTTGTCGCAGACTTTCCTTCGACCTTGGCCGGTTTTCTGACGTACAACTTACTGTCATTGTACGCCGAAATTGATAATACATTTCCTGTTTGACATTTGTTAAGTATGACTATTGATTTAAGTAAACCTCCCATCCCCATGCTAGAGTTGCAGCCAGTTGTAATAGACGGTGAACAGCTGAGCATGATCTCATGTCAGTTACTGATTTCGGCCAAAGTAAAAGTACCGCTTATTGTATACTATAAGTAGGCTATGTGTTATGTCCCATCAACTATCATAATATCACAAACTTAGAGAAAAACACAGCTGTTGACAATTTTGAACAAAAAATCGGCTACCAGTTTGTCCTAGAGCCAAGAGATCAGAACATTACAGACTGTAGGTCTCGTAGGTGGTCAGAAAATTTTCTGTGTTGTGTTTGATAACTCTCTCCGTAAAAATATTATCCGTAAAAATATTACGACAGTATAATGATTTAGAAGAGTATTTCATAAGATGAGAAGTTAATGAGTAAATGAGAAGTTTTAAACCTAAAGATAAAAAAATTACGAAATTAGAAGTCATTTTTTCTTAATAGAATCAATGTTGGCCGCTTAAGGCCAGGGACACACTTACCGGCCAAACCGCCGGACGCCGGATCCGGCGGCGCCGGAGCAAGTTGAGATACACAGGAAGGCATGGGGCATGCCACACTTCTCCGGTTCGGCGAATCTGCCGATCCGGCGGGAAAATGCTCCGGCGAACCCGCCGGATATTCTCTACCTTCGCCGGAGCAGCGGGTAGCGGGGCATTGTGCCTACCGCATCACCAAATCTAAAAAACTAATAATACCAGAAATTCACAATATGTTATACAAAACAGACATAATTTAGAATTTTATAAAAAAAAACACAGTGTATAGAGGCCTTAGATATATAAGTTTTTTACCAAAAGATATAAAAAATGAATGTAATAGTAGGAAATTTTACTTTAAACTAAAAAAATACCTAGTAGAAAAAGCAATTTACTCCTTTGAGGAATTTTACAATTTAAAATATTGTGAATAGGCAATAAGTACTCACTGACTCTATTCTTTGTACTTGTACATTCATGAATAAAGGAGATTTTGATTTGATTTGATTTGAACTACATAAAGATAAACAATAAAATCGTCGTACTGCTTGCATTTTTACTTCATTTGTACAAATGTTATTATTTAAAAATTAGGATAAATAAATAAATAAATCCTATTAGGATAAATAGGATAAATAAATTAGGATAAATAAATATATGAATATTTATCTTGCAAAAACTTATTGCTTAACTCAGAGAAAACCAATTATATAAATTTTTCAACTGCCCAAAAAAAACCTTTAAAACCTAATTTAAAAATTGATAACAATTACTTAACTCAAGTGACTCAAACTAAATTCTTAGGACTAATAATTGATCAACATTTATCTTGGTTGTACCACATTGATAAACTAAAAAGTAAAATTTGTTCAGGTCTATTTATGCTGCACAACTTGTCTAAACTCTGCTCGTTGAATGTTTTACTGAAGGTTTACTATGCTCACATAAACTCACATATTGCATTCGGCATTGAATTATATGGTGCAACAACCATTCAAAATTTAGATGGTATATTAATTTTACAAAAGAGAGCCATACGTATCATGTTAAACTTGGGAGAAAACCAATCGGCAAAACAGTATTTTGCTAAATTAAATATCTTTACAGTGTATGGATTATATATTTATAAAACTATAATTAATCTAAAAAGTGAAATGAATACACATACACTTCCAAAATTGGGAATGTCACATAATTATAATACTCGGCATCGGAACTACCCAGCCATCCAGAGGCATAATTTAGAGTTTTATAATAAAAAACCCACTGCTGCAGGTACTAGGTTTTTTTATGCTCTGCCTAAAGATTTAATGGAAATTAATAATATTAAGACATTTAAAAAGAAATTGAAAATATTTATATTAAGCAAATGTTACTACTCATTTAGTGAGCATTTTGATAATATTTTATAGAATTAATTGTATTTATTGACGCCATTCTGCATTTATATTTGTAAAATGTAAATCTTGAATAAAGTGTTTCTGAATCTGAATCTGAATCTGAATAAAATAAACGGTCGAACTCGTGCAATATATTTGGCTGAAATTGTACATTCCTCTCATTTTTTAAATATGTGTAATTATACTATCAATGCAATAGAATGAATGTAAACGATCTAACTCGTTTGACTTGTCCATGATATATGATATATCATTACTGTACAGTACATGAATCGTAATCGTCATGTTGTACTCCTCTTTCAAAGGTCAGATCTGGAATTCAAGTGATAAGAGTAGTAACTGTACAAGCATGTGCGCAGTTTAAGCGTTTTTGGCTAACAAGCATAACATTGCTGGTTCAAAACCGACTACCTAGCCTACACTATCTTATCTTTTGGTCACCACTGACTTTCATATGTTACTAATGATAACGGTTTCCTGTTTTAGACCATTATACGTACAGTACTCAGTAAATCTATTGTAGCCAGCAGTTAAGTCTGGATTTCAAATTCTAAAATTACTTGTTTGGCTCCAACAGGATCGATACTGGACCCAGATGACATTTATCATCGGGTTATCAATTCACGATTCTATCTAACTAAAGGTCAACATTTAGATAACAACGTTCCCAATAGGCGTATTGGTGCACACGTTAAGGTTTAAAAATAAAAATATGACTTTACAGCTGAAAACCACATAACCTCGGCCAAGCTGCAAGTGGTCTACGATGTTCAAAGCATCCTGGGTACTTTACTCATAAAGCTATGAACAACCATTAATCTGTAAAATCTGTCAGAGTGGACCAACCTGAGACATAAGCATGGTTGTCAACGGAGACTCCTCGAGAGCGTTTCTCGGAACATGCATTAAGCACTGGTTGTTGCTGCTACAGCTATATAGTAGACATAACAATACAAAGGAACCGTTGTT